TCATTATTATAAGAATAGAATCAAATCAGCGGCATGATAAGTAGAATCGCGAAACTAGTTGCAATAGCGGTTTGTACATTTGCTTGGACAACTAGGTATAGACAAGCAATTTTAACGGTTGAACATAAAATCATATGAACCGCCCCGGTTTGATTCATTCACTGGCCCAATGTTTAAACCACACAAAATTAAGAAGAAAAATCACTTTAACAACCATCCAACATTTATTATTAGTTTTATTTCTGCTTCCTCTTCCTCTTTTCTCAGCCTCCTGGATAGTTTTACAACGTTCACTATCGATTTCCATCATAATTACTAACTTGAATCCTAAATTATGTATGATTATTGATAGGTTGAGTCCTAAATTAGTGTATTATATTCATTTTATGTGATAGCTCATGGAAATTTCTATCTATGAGTAATCAATGATTCTATAACGGTTAAATGTTGAACTCTACATCAGTAAACGAGCTACTAGATGCGAATACCAGACAATGGAAACACAATATCATTCAGGCTCATTTCAACCCACAAGATAGACAAAGAATACTACAGATCCCGATCCCTGAACAACCATGTGAAGATCGTTTGGTTTGGAGATTCAAAAAACGAGGTTTCTACTCTGTAAAGTCTGCATACCATTTTTGGAGGGACATGTAGGAAGCAATTCAGGGTGCTCTATATACCCCTATAAACTGGGACCGATTCTGGGGGCTCAAAATCCCTACTAAAGTCAAGGTCTTTGGTTGGAAATGGATAATGAATGTTTTGCCTACTGGGGCAAACATTGTGGATCAGATCCTAAGGGGTTGCAACGAATGCCCCTTCTGTGGGCAGCGAGAAACTCAATACCACATCTTTCTAGACTGTGGTTGTGTACGCAGAGTTTGGAAACCCAGTTCTCTAAGCGATCTATTCAAGAAAAGGAGAAGACCTTACCTATGAGGAGTGGATGGTGAAGCTGCAAGAGGAGGATGAATCAAGAGTGGGGATGTTCCTAGTAGCATTGTGGTTCATATGGGAAGAAAGAAACAATCAGCTTTGGAACAAGAAGAAACTAGAGGAATTTGAGATTCTGGGGAAAGCTAGCAGATGGTTGGAAGAATACCTGGAAAACAAAGAGGAGCGATTGGAGAAGGTCGAGAAGAGAGTCTATCGATGGAAGCCCCCGGAGTTTGCCGAATTCAAGATCATTGTTGATGCTGCATGCTTGGAGGTGGGGGGACTGGATTGGGGATCGTGGTTCATAACTGGCAAGGGCATTTCTGCTTTGCCGCCGTCAAACGAGTGCGTGATCATTGGACGCCGGAGATAGCTGAGCTGTAGGCAATTCGGTTTGGTTTGGAAATGGCGAGCTGCATCAAATTTTGCCAGGGGAGGTGAATCAAACTGTTTCTCCGCTGTCTCGTTGATTTTGCGGGAGGAGAGGTCAATAATGGAGGAAGGTGATCTGAGCGGAGAAATCAAAGAGATAATGGATAGGATCAGACCAATTTCGGTTCACTTTTCGGGCAGAACCAGCAACCAGGCGACCCACATTATGGCTCACACCCTTAGGCCCCCTGTTTTCCTTATTTCACAGCTTCAAGCTGATTCTGTACTGTTTCACCATAAATGATATAATACAGGAGTTTCTATAAAAAATGTTGAAACATAAGCCACTAACTTTTATGATTGAGTGATTGTAAAAAAAAAAAAAAGACTTTTATGATTCAATGTCTGGTTCAGTTACGAAAACAGAGGTAAGATTTCAAATATTATCTCAGTTCCCAATCCTAATCAAATCTTCAAACTTTCACTCTTATCTATAGGTAATTCATTCAAATATTATTCATTATCATAATGCGGCAACCTCAATCTTTCACCATCCTAATTTTACCAGTTGTTCCACACGTAGTATTCGTTTTATCAACTAAAACTGTACGACGACATAAATAAATCAAACTAGTGAAGTTAGAGGTGCAATGCAAATTCGGTATGATACGATAAAAAAAAATCATACTAACTCATTCACAAATACATAATCTAACCATACATACATTGTACGAGATCACGAATACTAATTTATAGTAACAATTAATAACTTTAGGAATCAATAAATACATTTATTCCATTTTGACTTACTACAACACCACAAATTACGAATCTTTCTTCATCAGATTTTTCAATCTCCGATCTTAGTAAAGATAACCTGAGCACCATATTGCGGCTGCACCGTCATAAACTGCACTGGAGAATGAACATAAGCACTCGACAGCTCAAAACGATATCGCCTCAGAATCATAGCGAGAGCTACTTTCATCTCAACCATGGCGAAACTCTGGCCCACACAAATTCTCGGCCCCAGCCCCCAAGGCAAGAAAGCTGCCAAATGCTTTCGCGGCTGGCTGAATCGCTCAGGATTAAACCTGTCAGCATCTTCTCCCCAAATCTCAGGATCGTGATGCGCCGCAATAACGTACAATGAGACCTGAGTATTGGACGGAACTTGGAAGCCTCCCACCTCGGCATCTCTGCAAGTTTGCCTCTGAATTACACTGACCGGAGCATACAACCGAAGTGTCTCGTTCAAGATCATGCTTATCTGCAGTTAAAAACTCTCAAAATTTGGATGCAGAATTGAAGGTGATATCCGAAAATGAAATGGTTGTTCAGTATTGAGATTTTCCTTACTAGTTTGAGTTCCCCAAGGCTTTCTGCAGAGAGGAGAATGTTGTTGGTCCTGTCATCCAACACCTGAAGAACTTCCTGACGAGCTTTGGTTTGCCAATCTTGATTAATTGCGAGCAACACAATCGCCCAAGTCAGGGTATTGGCGCTTGTCTCTTTCCCTGCGAAATAGAAGGTCTTGCATTCTTCTACGATTTCTTCAACCTCCAATTTGTCCTCTGTACCATCTGGGTTCCTATTTGGAGACATCAACAAGCTCAGCAGGTTCCTGGATTTCTCTGATTTCGCGTTCTCGGCCTCGATCAGCTTCCTGATCGAACCTCGGATTCCCTTGTTCACTCTCCACCTGTTCCTGTTCTTCTTGGTGGGCAAGAACCTGTGGAATTCGGTGGCGATGTTAGTTAAATTCCCTATTTTATTGTATGAAACAGGGCAAAAATGATATCTATCAGACTCTTACCTGAATCCTGGGATGTAGACGCTGAAAACAGAAGCAAAGTGGAGGTAAGTCTGTTGTTCTTGCAGCTCGAAGATGCGTTTCCCTTGTTCGAAGCTGCTTCCGAAAATGGTTCTGGAGATTATATCCGCTGAAAGGGTATGGAGTTCCTTGTGAACATCCATCTCGAATTCAACTTCCCCTGCTTTGCCCTCTTCCCAATGTTGAAACATCTTCAGGGTACTTTCCACCATTTTCGGCACCCAACCCTTCGGTGGAGTTTTGATATAACAAAGTCAAACTAAGTTATTTGGGATGAGGAATTAAGTATATTTCATTTTAATTTCACAATCCAACAGGTTAATTACCTTAACTTGCTCCATGTTGAAGGCAAGGGCAGCGATCCTCCGATGAACAGCCCATTTCAGACCCTTAAGTTCGGAGAGCCCATCTCCCAGGAGCTGTTTCGACAACGGGTCTGAATCCAATCTCTCAAAGGTTCCATCTTTACACAAGAGAACTTCTCTGATCACCGCCGGGTCCGAGAAAGTCAACCTCGGGGTCAATCCGAACCAGTACAGGAATGTCCTGCCGTGGATTCTAGACCAGTCGCAGTAAGCCGGAACTAGGCTCTGGAGGACCTGATGACGGCCGTTGTTGTCGGACGGCGTCGGAAGATTCCTGGACCTGGCTTCCGCCATCTTCTGACGAAACTCGGATGAGTTCCCGGTGATCGGGCGGTAGCCGGGGCCGGAAACCCCCTGTTTCTGGAAGTGGCGCTGGGTCCTGTACGGGCGCCATAAGACTGAGTGGAGAAGTGAGAGGAGGTAGATTAGGATTGTAGAGATTATTAAGATCGTGATGATAGTGATGAGGGGCATGATTGGAGAATTCGTTTCAGGAAATGGGGTGGAGATTCGATGAACTAATTTTGCTGGGTATTGCAAACTTTGTTTGTATTGTAAACTTGGAGAGTGCAGTTGAGTATTATAAGAACATCTTTCGTCATTCCAGTACAATCAGGGAGTAGAGGGTACACAAATAATCTATAAAACGAATCCTAGGGTTAATTTAAACGTTACCTGTCGCATACACAGATCTGGATAGATTGTTTATATGAAGTTAAATTATTTTTTAATTTCTTTTAATTTGAAAATGATATAAATCAAAAATTATATTTATAGAAAAAAATTTAAAAAATATAAATATAGCATTCACATTTTAAAGCAACTCGGTACTTCTGTTTTTATGTTATAAAAACATTTTCAGCTTTTTTAAATGCTTGCGTTTATAAAGGTGTTTTACCCAACTTAACCATTGGAGCAAAACAACACTTTAAAAAGTACAAAATTATCATTTTTTAAAGGTCTATATAAGGGATCTTCAGAGACTCCTCCATTTCACAACGCCTCTATTTGACAGAAAAATAGCTAACTGATCCGAACTGATGGGCTAAGATAAGGTTACTAGGGGATTTCTTAATCACATGATTAAGTCAATTTCAGCCTTTGAGCTTCATTAAAATCTAATGGTTCAAATAAATCTAATTTAATGAAGGATAAAGTAATAATTATATAATTTATTTATTTAACAATTAAAATAAAAAATTTTGGACCCATTGGCGGAACCACTGTCCCTCCTAGGGGTGGCAGTTCGGTTTCCGGTTAGCGGCTAACTGGCCGGTTCAACCGATAACTATCGGTTAGCGGCTAACCAAAAACCGACATTTATCAAATGCGGTCGGTTGTCGGAACAAAGATTGGTCACTTCGGCTAGCCGAGTAACCGAAGCAGGTTTAACCAGCAAACCAAAGCTAACCGAAGCACCTTCTATCAATGTCTATATACGGCACAGTTTCAACAATTTCAACCCTAAAAACAACCCAACGCCAACCCTACCTGCCTCCTTCATCCCCCCCCTCCCCCGGGGCATCCTCCACCACTCCTCCCTTTCCCAGTGACCCGCCGACGCGGCACCTTGCCCCCGTGACCGGCGACCCCCCGGTGAGCCCCGACCCTTCCAGTTTTTTACCGGCGACCCCCGACCCCGTGCTACCCCTCGCTGACCCATGACCCTCATTGACCCCTCGCCGACCCGCGACCCTCATCGATCCCCAGCAACAGCAACAAAAGAAGAAAGAGAAACAAGATGAAAACAAAGACAAGCAGAAGACCGCCGCCGCCCTTGCTCTTTCCGCCGACCGCGCGCCGCTGCCGCTTCTCCTCCTTCATAGAAGTAGAGAGAGGAGAGAAAAAGAAGAGTTTGAACTTTGGAGGGTAGCAGTTAGGAGAGACAGGGAGAGCAGAGAAGAAGGTCTGGTTTTTGTTATTCTTGGGAAAACAAAGAGGAGAGAAGAAGAAGATAAGAAACGTGTGGACTTCCTCTTCTCTTTCTTTTTATTGATTTTTTATTGCTAGCTAACAAAACAGGAGAGAAGAACACGTGGGTGGGGTTGGATGGTTTTTTTTTAATAAATTGATTAATTGTGGTATAATCGAACCAAAATTGAAAACCGATTGGTCGGTGGTCGGCTACCATGGTCGGTGGTTGGCAGTCATAGGGGACGACTCGGTTTAACCGATTACCGGAAAATCGGTTTTTGGTTAAACCAAAATCGACCGACTGACACCCCTAATCCCTCCCCTCCCATCTGCCGCTTATTTTTCCTCGGCAGGGTGGGGATATTTGGCACACCATTTTTTTGCCCTCTGGCCGTTCGCTTCTGGGGAAATCTCCTCGGCAGCTTGGAGACATAATATACCCATCATTTTTGCTTGGCAATTCTACGAGAGAGAGTGAGAGAGATTTCTGCTTTTTGACAATCGGCTGCGGCGGAGGTGGATTTTTCGACGACAGAGTATTTTGTAATGTTTGTAAGTCTTGTTCGCAATGTTTATATCAATTCGGTTTGTATCGTTTATCATTTTAGTTTGTCATTTTTATCTATTATGTTTGTAATGTTTATGTGGCAAAATTTGTATATATTAAAATTTGTAATGTTTGTTTGTCTAGTTTGTATACTTTATGTTAAGATTTCTATACTTTTTATTCATTGTTTTGTAATACAAGTTTACTAATTTTTATTGTAATTAGTGGCATTTTGTGTTGTTAGTATGTTTTGTAATGTTTGTCGATTTGTTTTGTAATGTTTGTAAGCTTTGTTATGTTCGTAATGTTTGTCGATTTTTTTTGTAATGCTTAGAAACTTTGTTATTTTTGTCCACCATGTTTTTCATTTTTCTCAACCATGTTTGTAATGTTTTTTTATGTCTAAGAAACAACCTGATTGCTTTTGTACGAAACTCATCTATATAGAGATGGAGTCTTCAAAGTCAACCCGGTTGTTTTCCCATTTTGTATGGTTTGTCGGTCTATATGTAATTTTTGTCCGCCATATTTGTATTGTTATATGTTTAAAAAACAACCGGGTTGACTTTGGGACGGTGCCCCTCTATATAGGGATGGAACCTCCAAAGTCAACCTGGTTGTTTTCCATTTTCCATGGTTTGTATTGTTTGTCGGTCTACTTTGTATTGTTTGTATGTTTTGTCATTCTAGTTTGTACTGTTTGTAAGTCAAGTTAGTATACTTCATAATTTTTCATAATACCTAAACTACCCCTATCATTAATTAAAAAGCTCTTCTCACTTTTTAACCTTCAGATTGGTGTGTCTAGATCTAGGGAGGGGTTTAGCCAAGTAACTAAGCACACCCTCTTAGTCACCTGATCCTCCCGAACTAATAATCGGTGCTAACGGCTGTTGCAAACGATTAACTTCAACTCTTGATTGCTAACTTGTGTTTTTGTTTGCTAAATAGTGCTACAAAGGACTTAATGCAACTTCTGAAAAGAGAGCATTACACATTTTATAGGGGCTGCTATCAATTTCTAATAGGTAAAACTCAATAGAATGCGTCAGCCATGAAGAGAGCATTAATATAAACAATGTTTAACGACAATCACACTGTTCCACAAAGTTTTTTTTTCATATTACATATCAATCGTCATATGCATCTCAGTACAATTTACAAAAAATGGTTGCCTTTCATTTGCAAAGACCTTCATTGAATGTACTTCGCAATGACAAATGGATAAAAAAGAGAAACATTTCTTTGCAGACTGGATAACACCTTAATCCTAATCATACTAAGCTATATTACTAGAGTTCACTTCTCGAGCATATCAAGCACAATGGTGAGTCTATCCTCACCATCCTCCATATCATAGAAATACTTAAATTCTCCTGAATGCTTGCAAAGCCTCCTACACTCAAGAACCCTTTGTTCCCTTGTTCAATCCTTCAACTTCTTCAAGGTATTCATTAAATTTGTCTTCATAGTGATATGTATCTCACTCTTCCCCATAGGTCTAGCAATTGTATCAATGGATTCTTGTATGAATGACCCCATCTCTCTCAATTCAGTTGAAACATTGCATATGTGCTCATCCAAATGCTTTTTCTTCCTCTTTTAAGTTAGACCTCCTACAGAACTAGTTTGAACTAGTGTTGCTTGCTTCCTCTTTGCACGTGATGTTGCTTCCACGCTTTCATTAATTATCTCAAACATTCCCCCCTCCACCATGAGGGTATTCGTTTAGTTCAAAAGGATGGTGGGTTCACCTTCATCTCCAGAACCGTTGGTTAAGTTCTTATTAGCTCCTTGGAACCCCATCTCACCTATTGCTCGTCACCAAATCCCATAATTGACGAAATGGGATGTCTCTATAGCTTTTGAAAAAAGAACGAGCCTGAAAAAGGTAAAGCAATTCCCATGTCAAATAGTAAACAACTTCATTTTTTGCTATTACAATGCTAATAATTCACACTACTGTAATTCACATAATTGATCATTGATGAGGGCATAAGCTCTAATAATTGCACTATCCATGGAATGGAAGTACTGTTCATGGAAAGGAAAAAAGCAAAAAATCCAACAACATTAAAATGTCATTTAAGCTACATACACAAAATATATTATCCATTATAATTCTTTTCAACCACACAACATCTTTGTATTCATTTATGAGACACTTGAAACTTGAAAGTCATTGATTAAACATATTAATTTATGATCAGAGTTTAGGGTTTAGCGTTACGGAATGAATTATCAAATTTGTAATATGGGTTTTGAGATTTCAACTAAGGTATTGGACATTATGTTTTTCAAAACCGATCGATCTGCATAACATCATGGTTGATCGGAACAACTAACAGGACTGTTGTTTTCACTTGAAAGTGGTCGACCTATATGCAAAAGGGGTCAACCGGTGTAGCAAAAGGTTGTTGATGTATGCATGTTTCCTGTAATTTGGTCAACCTACAAATCAAGAGGTTGGCCTGTTCAACGGAATGGTTGATTGTTTGGTTCTTCATTCATCCTTAATATGTCACATAATACAAAGTCAAGAAGCCCTGTTGAGGTAGGTATTTTTCCTTGAGTTCATTCAATCTCTAGAAGTAGGGATGACAACAAACCCGGATCCATGGATACCCTACCCGACCCAATCCGGTCAAAGTGGGTAAAACTCACGTTGACTGATTCTGAGCCGCGCTCGGGTTGAAATCCGTTGCACTATTCAGCAGGTTGGGTTGGGTTCGGGTTTGGGTATACCCGACCCATGGATACCTGCCCACATCCATACTCCCACAACTCGTCGTTCCTCAAGCTGAACCCTGTTGTTTGAGGATCTTTATCTTTAACATTGAACAATTTGTATTGATAATTTGTGGATTTGCTTGTATGTACTATATTAATGTTTTTTGTATGGATAATTTGTAGGGTAGATTGGTGTTAGATTTATTTTGATAGGATATTGGTGTTATGCATTATTGTCCATCAAAACCAATGAGTATCCATGAACCGGTGCATATTCATTGAGTTGAGTTGGGTTTGAGGTTCCAAAACTAGTTGGATTTTTTCTGGATTTTTTTTGCAGATATACCCGCTGGGTTGGGTTTGAATTTGACAGAACCCAACCCATTGTCATCCCTATGTGGAAGCAAGCAGTCGACCGATGTAAACCTCGCCTCCTACATGCAATGCAGAAGATTAGAGTATATATTTTACTATTAGTTTGTATATATTTTTCAAAGGTGTGATTGATATTTTGTTAAAGTTAAAAGGTTTCACTAATAAATTATATTATCCATCATATTAAACAATAGTTCTTCCTTATTTTTAGTTATAAAATAATATAAATGAAAGGTAAACTATATTTGTATATTAGAGGATATGTGGCAACGCTATAAATCTAAAGAGGGTGGACTAAGAACATGGGCCGGTCCATGATATTTGAAAGCCCTGTTCGAAAAATTAAAATGTGGCCTTAATTGTTTTCTCGCAAATTTATTAAAAATAAAATTACATTAGGAAAAAAAACTAACATATTTTATAGAATTCAAAATATCAATTGGTTGAAAAGGTTCATTGGAAAAAACTTTCGGTGGGTATTTTTATTATGTAAATATTGATATATGGATGACCAATGACCTACCACATTAGATGCTCACTTGGGAGTTACATGTAACCCCTATTTCTACATCATTATCTCTCATTCTTATGCATTGATATAAGGATGTAGTGGTTACCAAAGTGTGCCTATAAATATAGCACACCATTGTATCAAAAGTGAAGAATGAATAAGAAGAACTCTTCCCCTCTCTTCTCTTGTGTCTTTCCCTCTCTAATCTTATCTTGTAGTTGTTTATATTTTCATTAGTTTCATAACACGTTATCAGCACGAAGCTCTGCCAAAATTATCATTGCTCAAGCCTCAAAGACTCTCGACATAATCTAAGATATTGGAGAAAGATCACAATATGATCAAGGTATGTAAATCTTAGATCCTTTCTTATCTTATTGTCTTATGTGTGTTGAGATTATCTCATTCCAATATATCAAGATGGGTGCTACTTCTCATATCCATTGATATTTTATCACGTCGATCTATTTGGATTAACCAGAAAAGTAATATAAGTGATGAGTTAATTTCTCAGTTCTCCGTGTTATCCTATTATTATCAATCATACATTGATATGTAGAAAATGCAAGTTCCAAGATCTCATATTCTCCAGAAGTGGAAATTGAAGAATCCAAGGGCAAAGA